GTCCAGCTTCTCGTTGATCGAGTGAGCGCCGTCCGTCGAGCTGCCCATGGGGAGCAGCAGGACGTTCTTGCCGGTGGCCTGCTCAAAGGTGAGCGTGACGGGGATGCTGTCACAACATGTCAGTCTCCGAAACAGAAGATCACGGGATGCATCGACATACCTGCCACCCTCGCGAGTGAAGTCGGGCTCGACGCCCCACACGCGCTCAACGGCCTTGGAAGCAGCGGAGAAGTTCCAGTGCTTGGGCGACGCGACCCACCACTTGCCTGAGTGCTGCTCATACACCTTCATGGTGTTCTTGCTCTTGAGCTTGGCAAACTGGTCGTTCACATACTTGTACACGGCCTCGTTGGTCTTCTCAATTTCCATGTTGGGCACGGTGCGGATCGAGAACTTGCCAATGACCTTGGCGGGGATGACCGTCTTGGCACCCGGCGCAGAGAACGCACCCTCAATGCCGTGGATGGAGAGAGAAGGGTAGCGCCAGCGGCCCATCAGAGTAGACTTCTTGTCCTCGAAAATGGTCGTCTTGCTGCCGAGGGACTCGTGGATGTTGTCCATCGTGAACGAGATGTTGTCGTAGAGAGACTCCTCCTCCTCGGTGACGGGCGCAACCTGCTCCGCAATGCCGGGGATCTGGATCTTGCCGTCCGTGTCGACGAGAGAGCCGAGGAGACGGGTCAGGTCCGTCATGGGCTCCTGAGCAGTGCCGCCAAAGACACCGCTGTGAAGGTCCGCACCGGGACCGGACACCTCGATGGAGTAGTAGTTGCAGCCGCGGAGACCGTAGGTCAGGCAGGGCTTCTCCGTGCCCAGCCAGTAGTTGTCCGAGATGCAGACAGCGTCAGCATCGGCAAAGTACTTCTTGGCCTCGGCCACGATGAGGTCATCCAGACCCTCAGAGCCGTACTCCTCCATGCCCTCGAAGCACATGAGCAGGTTGACGGGGAAGTCAATGCCGGCCTTCTGGTGTGCCTCGATGGCGTTGAGCCAGCCGAGGATCGGACCCTTGTCGTCGGTCGAGCCACGGCCAAACATCCTGCCCTTGTCGTCCACAGTGAGGTCAAAGGGCTCCGTCGCCCAGCCGTCGCTCTTGTCGGCAGGCTGGACGTCGTAGTGTCCGTAGACGAGGATGGTCCGCTTGTTCTTGTCGTTTCCGTAGCGGGCCAGGACGCAGGGAGGGAGGTGCAGACCGGGCTTGCCTGGCTGCTCGCCAAGATCGCGGAGTTCGACAGAAGCACCAAGAGACTTCAGCTCGTTGGCCATCCACTCACCCATCTTGACGACATCAGGGCGGCGCTCAGGCTCCGCCGAGATGGAGGGGATCGCAACGGCCTTGCGGAGACGTTCGATGAAGTGGTCAGCATCGGTGTCGACCTGCTTGAAGAAGCCGTCGAGTTGAGGAGCCATCTTGCGAGCCTGGTGCGTTTTTATGGAGGATGTCAGGTAGGAACGAGCTGCGGCGAAAGGTTGTTGGTGCTGTCTAGTTGGCCAGGAGAAGGGAATCGAGCTCGTAAATATTGTTCGAGGTCGATAGAGAGGGCGAGCATGAAGGAGGGGGACGTGGATGCGGGGCATTACGCCGTTTCTTGAAAGCTACCTGCTCATTGGGCAGGCGCAGTAGCTGTGAGATACGTAACGAGCACCTTCCTCAGCACACAATCGCGGTTCTTGCAGGAAAGGGCAAGCAAGAGATGGTAGTTGGCGGGGTAGTCGGGCGGCAACCAGCGGCACACCAACCCTGCTGGGCCAACGTGCAGCTTCTGCTCTGCCGTTTCTGCCGGCGAGCATCCGTATTAGTCATGAAAGCACAGCTCGGCCAGAACTCTGCAGACGCCGCCGCCACGTGACTCAGAGGTACTTCCTAGATAACCTACGCTGGCTGGAACATGCCCCCACCCGAGGTCCCCTTCCGGCCAACTGTGAGAAGGTGAAGGGTTAGGCCCGCCAGGTTCCTTCCCCTTCTCTCCTCATTTGCCATATCTCTGCCTGGTTTCTCCTCTCTTGCTCTTTCCATCTTCATCTCCCACCGACAACCACGACATCTACCTATCGCCGAATTTGACGAGCTTCGTCTGGCCACCGTCGTCGCGATCGTATTTGTCTTCAGCAAATTTCCTCGATCGCACTACGGAACGACATTCCCAGAGACCGCACGTCCGCACGACGACTGATCGATTGCGCTGTTGCTCTCTTCCGACCGGCTGACAGCATCCCACGCAGGCGCAAGGTTGTGGCTCGCGACGATTGTACTAACGAGAGGATTGCCGGGCGTACACAGGCTGTTCTGCTGATGGTTCTCGAGGAATAGTAGTGACTGGGAATGCGAGGAGGATCTCAAAAGGGCTACCTTCTGCCAACCTTAGTGTCAGCCAGCCTCTTGGGCATTGTACTCTTTTTCTCTTCTTCGTACAGCACCTGACCCTATCTTGCTCGTTCCTTTTTTTTCAAGACAATCAGAATTGATTCTCCCTCCTTTGAAAGGTGCAGCGCGAGAGATCAAAGCAAAGAACAAAAACAATAACTGGAGTCGCGTGCGATCGTCGAGCTCTACAGTACAATCAAAGCAGTCAACCTAGCTTCTGGACAGACAGTAGTCGCAAGATACGCTTTTCTCAGCATATTCTTTTCCTGCCCCGAAGACCTCCCCCTTCGACTGCAGTGCGAACACACGTACCCCTTATCCGACTATCGATATGGCTTCTTCCGTTTTTTTCAAGTTCAAGTCGCAGAAAGAGCCGACTCGTGTCGAGTTCGATGGCACTGGTATCTCTGTGTTTGAGTTGAAGCGCGACATCATTCTCAAGAGCGGCCTCGGCGACGGTACCGATTTTGATCTTGCCATATATACAGAGGATAACAGCGAAGGTAAGATCTTGTCTCTCGAACTTGCGACTTTGATGAGGTACTGACACGCTGCCGAAGAATACGACGATGATACGACCATCATCCCGCGATCGACCACCGTGGTTGCTCGCAGACTCCCGGCCACCAAGCCTGGCGCAGGCCGCGGCGCTCGTTACGTCTCCGGCAAGATGCCTGCGTCGGCCAAAAACTCTGCCCGCAAAGAGCAAGTGGTTAAATCAGCGACAGCCAAGGTGGCTTCCAATGCTTTCAGCCAGATGAACAGCGCCATGACGGAGGAGGAGAAGATGGCAGCCATGTTCGCCGCACAAAGCGAGCAGTGGTCGGCCCAACAGGAAGAGATGTCACAGTATGTTCATCACTCCGCAGCCCACAATCTATCCCGATCTAACCAACGCTGCAGCCAAACCCCTGTCTTTGTCAAAGGCGGTGCAAAGCGCCCTGCGAATGTGCCTGACCACGACCCCCCCAACGGGTACATTTGCTACCGGTGTGGAGAGAAAGGCCACTGGATCCAACTTTGCCCTACCAATGATGATCCTGAATTTGACAACCGTCCCCGTGTCAAGCGTACTACTGGCATCCCGCGATCGTTTCTGCGTACCGTCGACAAGTCGGTTGCCCTCGCGCAGAATGGTGATGATGACGCGAAGAGACCCTCGGGAATCATGGTCAACGCTGATGGAGACTTTGTCGTGGCTGAGCCCGACAAGGCCGGCTGGGAGCAGTTCCAGGCCAAGGCTAAGTCGTCGGCATCAGCCGCCAAGGCTATCGCCCTGGGTGACAAGGAGTTGCAGGAGAAGGGGTTGGCATGCTCGATCGACAACAAGATGTTTGTAGAGCCAATGAAGACGCCGTGCTGCCAGAAGACATATTGCAATGATTGCATTACCAATGCTCTCATCGAGTCGGACTTTGTCTGTCCGAATTGCAACACGGACAGTGTCCTGATTGACGATCTCAAGCCTGACGACGAAGCCGTCAAGAACATTGACGAATACATGAAAGAGAAGGCTGCACCCAAAAGCCCCGTTGTCGAGGCTGCACCTGTCGCTACAGCGTCGCCTAAGCAGCCAACTGAGGAGGAGACAAAGAAGGCGGAAGAAGCGAAACCAGACGAAGTCAGTGAGTCCAGGAAGGAGCCGGCACAGTCTCCCAAGGTCCCTGATTCACCTTCCAAAGCTACTCCTGCGGCCGATACACCCAAATCATCAACAGCAACCCCAGTCGTAGCCGGTGCTGAGAGTGGGTCGTCCACGGACGCGAACTCGAAGAAACGGCCTGCCGACGACCTCTTGGAGAACCCCAAGATTCCAAAGGGCCCCAAGGCTATGCAGAGACAACAAGAGCAGCAGCAGCAGCAGCAGCAAGCCATGAACAACATGTATGGTATGCCCATGAACCCAATGATGGGCTTTGGCGGGATGAACATGGGGGGTTTCAACCCCATGGGAATGCCCAATATGAATATGGGCAACATGAACATGGGAATGCCTATGATGAACGGCATGAACCCCATGATGAACATGCCTGGATTCAACGGCATGAACGGTGGCTTTGACATGGGCGGTATGTTCAATGGCAACTTCAACATGGGTGCGGGGATGAACGGTATATACGGCATGAGCGGCATGAACGGCATGGGGATGAATGGCATGAACGGTATGGGGATGAATGGTATGAACGGCATGCCGGCTGGTGCAATGAACAACTTCAACAATCAACAAAGGCACAACTTCACCCAGCCCAGCAACGACGAGGAAGCGTACTTCCGTCGACCTGTCAACCCCCACCGTCACCAGAACCGTCAGAAGCGCGTTCGCCCCAGCGACTACCGGGAGCTATAATCAGCCTGCCTGTGTGTTTGGCAGCACTTGATGGGCCATTCGGCAAGGACATTCGACTTGTAACATTATTTCCCACGCACCCACGTCGCATGGGAGGGTCTCCCAGCATTCTAACGAAGGGCACGGTCTTGCCCTCGTATCTCGGTTTGGACATGGTCTGTGTATTCTGGCGTTCAGGGAGGGCACGGAACTGGCATGTAGGCCATGGGTTTGCATTGGCTTGGGAGGTTATACTCAATGACTGCGGCACATACTTGCCATTAGCTGTCAGGGCACGACGTGAGATCAAGAGATCCGCCTCTGCGTGTCGAGGGCATGTACCCTCTTCAAGAGATGCAGCGAAGGATTCTAGCTTTACACATGATAGGCAGAATTCCGTTGAATGAATATTTCTTCAAAAACAAACTTTCTTTTCCTCTACTGGGTATCGTAGATTCGTGACTGTATTGTATGCGCTGCTACGTGCCTCATGCCCCGTCCACCATGCCACCAGACTCCTGTTGCCACGAATTATGTCATGCCGAGATTCGCTGCTGCCTTAATCCATCTCAGGCGGCTGGTACGGCGTGACCAGCATCTGGCTGAACTTCTCCAGCTTCTCCTTGCCGCGCACCTCCTCGACGAGCAGGGGGACACGGACGACGTTGAACTCGTCGTACAGCTCCTCAATCTGCTCGAGGTACTTCTTCTGCATCTTGCGCCGGGCGTTGCACTGGTCGCAGTCGGAGCCCTTCTTGGGGAACAGCAGCTGGTTGACGACGATGCAGTGGGTGTCGATGCCGTAGCTGGAGAGCTCCTGGATCATGCGCTCCGTCTCGTAGAGCGAGAGGAACTCGGCGATGCAGACGCAGACAAAGGTGGTGAGGTTCTCGTCCTTGAACTGGGCGTTGACCTCGGAGATGGTCTCGCGCAGCGTCTCAAGCTTGGCCATCATGTCGTTAAGGTTCTGGCCGTTGGGCAGCTGGCCGCCCTGGCCGAGGAAGCCGTTGAGGAGGGGTCCGTACTGGGTCGAGAGCTGGGAGACCTTGGCGAGGGCCTTCTCGAGGACGGAGGGGAACTGCAGGAAACGGAGGGTGTGGCCCGTCGGCGCCGTGTCGAAGATGATGGTCTCGTAGGACATGGACTTGACCTGTTTCAGAATTTCGGCGAAGGACATGGCTTCATCGATGCCGGGGATCTGCGGGGAGCTCTCGTGTCAGTGGATTTCGTCCTGCCTAGAAACGTCCTGCATAGAAGGACGCGAGGTCACTCACGGCAAATGCGAGGTCCTGCATCATGCTGCCGATTCCACCGCCCATAGCGTCCATTTCCTGCGCGTCTTGTCCGGCGAGAAGATCCTGCATGCTGCCGTTGGGATCGATCTCCATGGCGGAGAGGTTGTCGAAGCCATCGATGAGGCGCGCCTCCTTGCCGAACTTCTGGTTGAAGGCGTCGGACAGGTTGTGCGCGGGATCGGTAGAGATGAGGAGGACGGACTTGCGGGCTTTGGCCAGCTGGATGGCGAGGGAGCACGACGTGGTTGTCTTGCCGACACCGCCCTTGCCTCCGACGAAGACCCAACGCAGCGAGCGCTGGTCGAGAAGCGACTGGAGGCTGGGCTCCATGGCGTCGGCGTCGAGAATGGCGGCCATTTTGAGGTGGGTAGTGCGTTGATCAGAGGTTCTCGGAGGGTGTTTTGATGGTTGAGGTAGTCTGCTTGCAGGATAACGCCGTTTTTCGAGTCTCTGAAGACAAGTGCTGGATCCGAGAGAAGAAGGTATGTTCTAGAAGCAGGATCCGGCTTGCATCGCGATCATCGTCGAGGGGCCCTGGAAATGGCGGGGCATCACAACGCCGTCATCCACACCGTGTCGCGTGTGTCTAAGCGAGTATTCGGCACAGTCCATTTGGGACTCTAGCGAAAGGAGAAGAAGCTCGCTCGACCTTTTTGACAGCAAGAACGCTTCAAGACTGGTGAGCTTCTCTGATAACGCAGCGCCCTTCGCCAATCCAGCAATGTCGCGAGGTGCAAATGTCATTCGAGACTTGTCCAAAAAGTTAGCGTCCCGGACTATCCAGGTCACGGTGGTGCCGGCGCCTGTCAAGTTTCCCGAGCGACGCGCTGTGCTGCACGCGCTGCAAAAGTTCGCCAAGATCGAGGTCTTTCGGAAACTCGATGTACGTCGATCAACCACATTGCTCTCAGCTTTGCATTTGCCGGTGCTAACACACATGTCTGCAGGACCATGATGCCTCTTTCATTTCCGTCGCCAGCGACAACGAATCGGCCAGCGAACTCATCCGCCGTAGCCCCTTGGAGTACCAGCTCGCGACAGGCGACTCCAAAGGCTCGGTCCGCACTTTCCTGACGACGAACCCATCAACCGAACCGATCCTCAACAGCGCCGCCGACAGCCAAATCGATACGGAATCGAACATTCGCGTCGAAGGCCAGGCCACACAGAAGGACTTTAAGCTCCACATATTTCCGGCACCCGACTATATTCACTCGGCAGCCATCCGCGCCTCACCTCTGCACGGCCCCTGGGCCGACGCGCGACGCGAGACCATCATGTCGTCGCTGCTTAAGCGGTCGCTTCCCGCTGACGTGGCTGCGGACGGTCTGTCGGACTGGGAATCGGGCGGGCAGGACCCAGATCTGGACAAAAGCCGCCTCGTCGAGGATCTGCTGTTCGGCGGCAAGTCGGTCGATCCGCACAAGCGCGCGAGGGCCGAAAGATTGCTCCGTCAGAAACAGAAGCGCGACATGCCAGCCGTCACGGAGGGATTGTTGCATCTGGTTGAGCAGCAAGGTCAGGAGACGGGAGACGTCACCGGTGGGCAGAAGAGCACAACGACATCGGCAACGACCTGAGACGGCAGCGAGCAGAGATTCCCTAGTATCGGCCCGGGGGCGGCTGATCGGCCAGCATCAGAACAGCCGGCACGGCTGTTGTGAAATGACACAAAACAAGGTTGGAATGCCTTCAACGTGCGCCGTGGTCCACGACGTTGGGGCCCTTTGACTTGTCTCGAACAACCGTCTTGCTGTGGCGCTCGGCACGCTTCGGCAAATGTTGGTCACTAGCCTCGATGCCCCCGATGCTTCTGTAGGACGGCCGAGACGAGATCGAAGCTGTGAAGCCTGGACGACGCACCGAGCCACACGGCACACGTTCAATGGTTGGATGGAACATGCAGACTTTCCATCGCGTGGTCCAGAACCAAGGCAGAACACCCCTAGAGACGCGCAATCAGGCGCCGCGAGGTCGGCAAATTGCGCCTCACCCGAGTGAGTCAGGCTCAGGGCTCAGCGTAAAGTTTCGCTAGGCTGTTGGTGTACCAGAGGTCTGGGGCCCCTTGGAACTACATGGTACGACTGTGCTGCGCAGTGCAGCGCTGGGGCTTGTGCTACAAACTAGACTTTGTTGCTGCTTTCGTGGCAGGAGGCAGCCCATTCGACCATACCAGGTAGTTTGGGGATTTGCAGTGGAAAATGCAGAACAGAAACCAGGTGCGATCATCACATGGTGGGCGAAGTCAAGATCATCGCGCAATGGCATTCACCGCTCTCCCTGCTTTCACGCTCGTTTTCATTGGTGCAGCATGTTTTTTTTTTGGGCGTAGAGAAGCAGGCCAGGTGCTAGCTTGCCATTTGAACCGGATTGATTGCTGTGAAGGAAAACACACAAGCTTATTGTCAGGAAACCGGGCTACCTCATCCCCAAGTAGGCAAGCCAATGAATATCGGGAGCTACCTTGGCGCTATTCCAGGGTCCAGCCTAAACGGGTATCTCGACGTCATCAGGCGGCCCACCCCCCTGTTGCTCCTCGACGCCAAAGTTTAACCAACGGACGAACGAACAAACGGGGAACGGGCAGCTCCCCAAACAAATCCAGATCGAGCCCACCTTCCACGGTTCTGAGGGTCTCTCTGTCCGGGGTGAAGGGCGGCGCATCGTCAGAGTTGTGGCTTGCCCACAGGCGGTCGACACCACCCTGTGACGTACACGCGGAATTGATAGCCGTGCCACATTGGTTCCTTCGACGCTCCTGCGAGTGCCGATCACCAGGCTCAGCATGTTCCTTGTTTGTTCCCCCGGTCAACCCTCAAGATGTTGGCTGCGTCTGACGACCCTGACGTGGTGATCCCTGGATGCGACGGCAGCATGCACGACCCTGATACGCGTTCCTGGATCAAGAGGCTTGACTGTCGTGAGTCTTTATATGGCTGTGCCTCGCTCCGTTCGGACAGCCTTGAGAACTGTTCGTTACACAGTATCAACCAGGTTACCGGCGACGAGTGGTCTTAACTACCATTTACACCCTCTATCAACGTCAACTCCATCCAGACAACTTCGAACACTCTCCATTATCCAACATTGACACTTGATCACCTCAGTCAAAATGGGTGTCCTCGCGCTGGTGAACCACTTCGGCACCTTTTTGCTGTTCTTGGCAATGGTGCTCCTCATCGTGTCGTCCATCACGGCACCCACCGTCAACTCCCTCTCACTCTTCTCCGTCAACCTCGGCAGTGACTCGGGTGACATATCGTTCGGTACATTTGGATACTGCGTCCACGACGTTCGCGGCCGGTAAGTCTTATAAGCCCAGCACACACAGCAGCGTGAACTACAAACTGACGAGTTTCATCAGCGGCTGCTCCCGCACCAGCATCGGCTACTCGCCGACCTCGATCCTGAGGGAGGTTGACGGCACCGACTTTTCCGACTGGACCGAGAGCACCTCCAAGGCCCTGACCAACGTCATGATCCTGCACCCCATCGGCGCGGGCATCGCCTTTGTCGGCTTCGCCCTGTCCCTGGGCTCGAGCTTCTTCGGCTCCTTCCTGTCGTCCCTCGTCGCCGGCATCACCTTTGTCGTGACCGTCGCCGCCCTCGCCTGCGACTTTGTCTGGATGGACCTCGTGCGCCGCCGCATCAACCGCCGCGACAACGGCGGCAACCCCGACAGCCACGCCTACTACGACGCCGCCCTCTGGTGCGTCCTCGCGTCGGCCATCTGCTCCCTCCTCGCCACCATCATCCTCTTCTTCACCTGCTGCACCGGCCGCGTCAACCGCAAGCGCGCCGAGCGCCGCAAGGCCGACTACCACTCGCCCCCTGCCGTCGCCCACACCCGCCATCACTGGTGGCAGCGCCGCTGAGCGTGAGGCCGCACGGCAACACGCTGCTGCCGCCACGTGTGGCCAAGAGACATGAAAAAGGCCTAGGCCTGCAAAGAACTTTACGCAATGATTATGATACCAGCCCGTAGAGCGATGATTTTTTTTTCTTACCTTTCCTGTGGCGAACTAGTAATGAGTCCTCATGACCTGTTAATACAAGCAACCTAATACCATACCATGCGGTCATACGAATAAGATGCACGTGAAGGTTCATGTGATGTGTGGCGTCTATCACATGCGTTGACAGCTTAAGTAGAGGTAAAGATTACCGCCTCATCGGTGTGAGGGGATTGGAAAGTGACGCATTTCTAAAATTGGATCAGCATCGCCTTATAAATTTGAACTCAGCCCGGGCTCGAAAGTCTCTTAAATGGCAAGTAGGTTGGCTGTGCATTCGGTGACGTTAGCTTCCTCACCTAGGCAGCTCCACCACCCCAACATTGGTCTGTCACAGATTCAGATGACGACGACTCTGGAAGAAGCTCATGTTTGAAGAGCTCGTCCGAATTGAGAGATCCAAGCCTACAATCGGTTTCGGAAGCACGGAAGAAGGCACGGCGATAGGAGGGTACTTGGACTCGGGCTTCGGCTTCCCGAACTGACGCGGCCCGTAGGAAGAGGTGGAGCTGACGGGGATCGGCTTCGTCGTTCCTGTCTCGGGATGCCGAGAGAGCAGAGCGAGCAGAGCGAGCAGAGCGACGACGACTAGCTGGCAGCGTCACTGGCACTGACCACTGACCACTGGCCAGAGTGTCAGTCTGCGACCTAACTTGCTAACGTAAGGTAAGGACAAGTGCGGGGCAGGGCTGGGCTGGCGGCCTGGTGGCGTGGCATGTCCAGCGCAGGTCCAGGCAAGCCGGGGCAGCAAGGCAAGCAGGGCAGGTGGAGGGTTCGCCGCAGGCCGCGTAAGAGCTCGCCTCAGGCGACTGCGGCTGCAGCCTCGGCTTGCATCAGCGCTGGCCAATCGGGGACTTGGGGGTGCGAAGGGTGGGCAAATGCCCTGGACGACGTCGCTCCGTGCGTTTTCTGAGACTGAGAGAGAGAGAGAAAGTGAGAGAGAGAGAGTGTGTGTGTGTGTGTGAGAGAGAGAGAGAGAGGTGCTGGCAGGTGACGTGAGATGATTGAGGTGGGATGAGATGTCAATGGGCGTGACCTTGAGATCATGCTCAGTCGGTGTAGGGCGCGGCCAGTGGTGATGCCTCGGGCGAGACATGACTTGCACCTGCTTGCGGGCTGCGCATCCGGTGTCTGGGGGGCCTGCTGGGTCGGACAGCGCGAAATGAGTGGGCGAATGCTGTGCAATGCGCTGCTCGTGATCGCCGTGCGGGGACGCAGCCGGGCACGCCGTCGACGGGCAGCACTTTTCCACGGGCTTCCTTGGCCAGTCTGTTGTGCCCTGCCAGCCTGCCCGCCCAGGGGAGACGGACACGCAATTGACTGCTGCCACATTCGGGTGCTTGGATGGGCGATCCGTGGCGCCTCGATAATGCAGCATAGCACTGTAAGGTAGGTAAATTCAGCGAGCGGCGGCGGCGGGACAGGTGGGGAGCAGGAGAAGGTGACAGCCGCCTGGTGCTTGGAAGGGTGGGATGGCTTCGGTGCCTTGGGTGCCTCAGCAGTGACGGGGAAGCCTCATAGGGCGAGCCAGCGACCATGAGTGACTCGCTGCTTCCCACATATTGCTTTGCTCTGCTCTGCTTGCCTACTGCATCTGCATGTGCCTTCACGCATCTGTGTCCCCAACGGATAAATGGTCAGCAGGATCCGGGAGGTAAGAGCAACCTCCGGGCACTTATTAACTCCCTCACCGCTAAATCCCGCCACCCAAACTACATCTCAACCTACATCCCACTAGCCAGACAACGTCGCGAACATCTTCATCTCCCGCCACCTACAACACAATTACCTACCTACCTAAACAACTGCGCGCTTGTTCAGTGGGGGAGCCACCTTTTCTTCAGCCCACCTGGCCTCGCCAACACGAGTCATCAGCCAGCGAGCGCCCCCAGTTACGCTGCCTGACGCTAACCCCGGCATCCCGGCACCGCTCTTGCCCGTTTATTACCACCTTGGGACAGGTAAGCCCGCCTTTGCCTCTCTGACCTCTTCCCCATCTCCTGGCTTGCTCGCCTGCGGCTCTCAACCCTCATCATCTCGTGCTTCCACTGGGAGGCGCAGGGAAACGGACCGTGGCTTTGACTGGCAGTGCCAGTGCCTGTGCCAGTGCTCAGTTCCGTCGCTACTTCCGAACACCTTCTCAGCACATGCCTGCCCTCGAAAGTCACTGGGCCCGCCCCCTGTCCTGTTCATCTTGCTCCCAACAAGTCCGACTCGGGCCCCTGCTCTTGGCAAGACTTCTGCCCCCTCACTGGGACCCAAGGAAGAAAGCCCAGAGAGCCTAGAGAGCCTAAGAAAGATGGCCCTAGCCTGGCTTGCCTGGGTGCCCTTGGGTGCTGGCCAGAGGTCGAGTGTGGTGAGCTCTGAAGTCGATCGACTCGCGCTACGCTCCGATCGTCCGTGCTCTTGGCCTCTCGTCATGTCGGCTTTCGTCTGTCATCTCGAGAAGCACCCAGGGATATGGCTTGCATAGCGGTATCCCCGCGAAAGGAGGCTCAACCCAACCGGTCCCCTTCTGAACCCTTTCCAACCCATTCATTACCCTGCCATCCCCAAGACGGTTGACGCGAAAGTTTCTCCCCTCGCTCGTCTCATCATTGCTATACACCGTTCCGTCCCAGCCCCATCTCCAAGCTTTCTTCGCTCCGTCTGGCCCGTCATCTCATCTCATCTCGAGAATCACTTTTTTACCGCCCCATGCCCCAAACGAGAAGGCCTCGTCATTGCCCAAGACGCTAAGGAGGATAATCGGCAGGCGACAAGCAAACAAGAGCCTACACATTGTCCCCCATCCATCCAGCTTTCTTCTTACTCTTTCTGCCGTCGGCCAACCGTTTCTTCGACTGAAACCACCCCTCTTTTGTCTCGCGCCTCTCTGACCGACCACTGCATCTCATTGATCCTCCGTTCACCTAGACAAGGGATACATCCGCCTGGCCCAACACTGCGCGTCTCGCCCGCCTGACCGGACTGCATGTCTCGCCCATCCTGACTTCGACCGGCTCTACCCTGACGTTATTCTTTTTTTTTTCTTTTACATAAATCCCCCCTCATATCCACTTGCATCGGCAACGTACACCTGTCAATACTCCACACCACTTGAGGCTCACAATCTGCCTATTCAGCCAGCCATCATGGCCTCCCCAGACATGCACGAAACCACAGCGCCAGCCTCTGTAGAATCCAGGCGACAACACGACACTGGCTTCCCCGAACCTTTTAATGGCGGTATGTGATGCATCTCGAGCGTCATTGCCTTCTCTTTCTCGTTGCTAATCATGGTCCCAGTTTCCAACACAACCTTGCCACATCCCGAGGCTGATCTCTCACCCAACGCCTTCATCTCCCAAGACGACCTCACCGCAGGCAAAATCGGCAAGCGACGCTCTATTCGACACAGGCACAAGCGAACCATCAGCCACGGCCGCATCACGCCCCAGATGGAGGCCAAGTACCACATCGATCCGTTGCTCGAAGAGGACGAAGATGCGCCCGACTCGATGATGGACGGCACGGACGGTCTTCGATCACGGTCGAGCTCTAGCATCCACCCGGTGGCGCCCGTCATGAGCATTTCCACCGGCCGCCCAAGCACAAGCCGCGACGGTGACAGCGTCTTCTCGCACGGCGCCGGCGACTCGTCTCCAACCATGTCCGAGGGTTCGCACAGACCCAGCTTCATGCGGAGGAAGCTGCGATTCCTCAAGTAGGACTGGGACAGCGGTACCGAAGCGACACACCGCAGGCACACGGTGGACTCTGGCCAGCGGCCGAGTCGGCGAGCGTCGCTATCACGACGATGACACGGCCTTTTTACTTAACGAACAAGAACTTGGGGTTTCAGCATGGTGTTCACGGGAGGCGTTGATTTGGGACTATTGGTTGCACTTGGGTTGAAATGGTCAACAAAAGACATGATCGCAACACGCGCGGACAATGGACATGGCGAAGCATAGCATACACGGCAGCTGGCTCCATCCCTTTCCTCCTTCGCACTAGCAACACGGCTACAGACAGGACACCGCTACAGCAG